CTCCTGTCTGCGGTCAGCTACAATTTGGGAGAGGTGCAGCGGAGCGTCTGTGGAGGGGGGGGACGCCTGGAGCCGAGGTATTGCATTGCACTCATTGCACTGATTTTCTGCAGTATTTTTTGATGCAACTTTTCTACTTCTACTAAAAAAAAATGCCAGCTTTCATTGATTTATTTTAAACTTGAAACTTTGTTTAGCCTGTAAGGTGTAAAAGAAAAAAAAAAAAATTAACCGATCAATCGAATCAAATCGTATGGTGGTGTAAAAAGGTTAAAATAAACAAATGACACAACAAATAAAGGATTTTTTTTTATTTTAGACCAATTAAAGTAGAAACGATTCATCAATAAAAAAAAAAAAAACGGTTCTATTTTTGCTCAAATTCTTTATCTGTCTGTTAGATAATTATAAATAATAAACAAACTTACTTTTTTCAGCTTCAGATGAATCCACTGAAGTTTGAGTCAGATTTGTGTTTGACATCTGATAAAAAAAGAAAAACAGGATGTAAATTTTCACGATAAAAATTAACCAATGCAGAATAAGATTTAAAAAAAAATGTTAACTTAATTAAGAAATCGACATAAGGCTGTTTATTATTAGCCAAGATGTAGAAGAAGGCATTAGAATAAAATGTAAATAAATACAATGCATGATGAGGATTATGTTTGACATTTTCTCCTGTTTAAATCCATCCCCACAGTGACTCATGTGTCTGTGGGTTAAGGTGAAGGTCGGCTCAGAGAGAAGAAGGGATTAAATATGTTTCCTCCCTCTGAGCCGGAGCATCGTCTGCGCCGTGAAGGCAGACAGACTCCGTCCCGTATTAGACAGCTGCCGATCACCCGACCAGACTAAAGCTGTGACCCTAAAGCAAGAGGACAGAACTAGGGCCGCAACTAACAGTTATTTTGCAAATCGATTAATCTGTCGATTATTTTCCCAATTGATGGATTAATAATCAGATAGCCAAAGGTTCCTTAAAAGATTAAACCAGGTAAAACTAAAACTTTTCCACTTAAGGAGTTCTGGAGAGAGCAGATTGACAGACATTTTTTGTTTCCCCATTTTAATGCAAAATGTTTATATAGTTTTTTACAAATTTGATATAATTACTGCTCTAATTGGGTCGCTCCTCAGCTAGAGGCATGTTTTACAGTCCTTATATTCCAATTAACGATTAATCCATTATTGAATTAGTTGACGATTGTTTCAATAATCGATTAATCCAATCAATTGTTTCAGCCCTAAAAAGAACCCATGCGCCCTTTGACCTCCTTTGCAGAGTATGATCAGACACTATAACGCAACGTTCTAGAGGCCTCTTTTCCTTAACTTTTCTAATCGGCATCCAGTGGCTAAGAAATAAAGG